TTCTCCAGCAAGGTACGGTTCAATCTCTCAGCCACCCCGTTTTGTTGCGGTGTCTCTCGAACTGTGAAGTTCTAATGCCGTAATCCCGACAGAACTGCAGAAACGGATCACTCTTGTACTCTCCACCGTTATCTGAACGTAGAGTCTTCACCTTTCTACCTGTCTGCAGCTCCATTTTCTTCTTCCACTCTACAAAAATATCCAGGACCTGATGTTTATACTTCATCAGGTATACCCAATTCCTCCTGCAATAATCATCAATGAAAGTGACAAAATAGTTGGCCCCACCAAGAGATGTGTTCTTGGAAGGACCCCAAACATCTGTGTGAATATATTCTAATGTACCTCGGGTGTTATGAACAGCGGTGCCAAACTTCACTCTAGTCTTCTTCCCAAGTACACAATGCTCACACAATTCTATCTTGTAGGTCTTAGCACCTTTCAATAGCCCATGTTTAGCCAATGACTGTAGGGACTTATCACCTGTGTGTCCAAGTCTCATGTGCCATAAGGTGGTAGTGTCCTCCTCTGTAGTGATAGAAGCTGCCAGACCCCCTGTAACTGTCTTGCCCTTCAAGTAGTATAGGTAGTTTTCCCTGACACCTCGCATCACCACCAAAGAACCCTTCGTGACCTTCACTGTAGCATCCTCTAAGATCACTCGATATCCTGCTGCCTCCAAAGTCCCAAGAGAAATGATGTTCTTCGTCAACTGCGGCACGAACCTCACTTCCTTCAATTCCCTCACTACACCATCATGCATCCTGATCCGGACTGAACCAATACCACCAATAGGGCATACGTGATCATTACCCATAAGCACGACATCCCCTCTTTCCAGCTCCTCAAAGCTAGAAAACCACTCCCTCTTAGGGCAGATGTGATATGTAGCTCCCGAATCCATCATCCACTCCGTGGAATCCGCATAGCAAACCGACGGTAAAGCAGGGCATGAATAGCCTGAAGAATCTGAATCTGAATGCTCACCAATAGCTTTTGCAACATTCACTTCTGAAGCTTGTGCAGCTTTCCCCTTATTCATCCCGGCTTTTTCTTTCCACTTTGGGCAGTTAATCTTCCAATGTCCTTCTTCTTTACAATACCGACATTGATTTCTACCAACACTCTTATAGGCACTCCTATTCTTTGACTTTGAGCGGTTAAACTGACGACGGTTTGGATCTCGGCCTCGAACTGCTAACGCATCTCCCGATGCCTTCTCGGAGGGTTCACCATCACTCTTCCTCAACTCATAGTTCACCAAAGCTGAGGTCACCTCCTTGTAGCTAACTGTAGTTCTTCCATTGATCATAGTGAGAACGAACGTACCATAATCATCTTCGGGCAACGAACACAGAAGTAGCATCGCCTTGTCTTCATCCTCAACTATAATATCAACATTGGCCATATCTGAAAGTAGCTTAGTGAAATTGTTGACATGCTCCCTGATGGAAACCCCTCTCTTCATCTTGAACTGGTAAAATCTCTTCTTCAAGTGAAGCCGATTCTCAATGCTCTTCGTAAGATCTTTCTCATTGAGTGTTTCCCACATCTTCTTCGCCGACGTCTCGTTCATGACATCATAAATAAGATCCGGCATCAAGCATGACCTAATAACACCATAAGCTCTACTGTTCATCTTTCTCCAAACCTTATCCTCCAACTCAGCGGGTTTATCTTTTAACTCAAGAGTCTCCTCCAAATTCTGTGCATCCAAGGCATCCATCACCTGACACCTCCACAATCCAAAATTGATCTTGCCATCGAACTTCGGAACATCAATCTTCATGTTATTGATGCTCAGACTCTGTATCGCCTTTGTTAGAGACGAACCTGACGTGCTTGCATCTCCCATGTTGTCGATCTAGCTCTGATACCAATTGTTGTGCGCGGCGAAAACTTTCTAGGGCAACACGAATAATAACTCGAACTAAACCACAAACAATATGCAAACCACAATCACAGCAAGAATAAAGAATTTACGTGGTTCGGCAAGTTGCCTATGTCCACGGGGCAAGGAGGGGGGAGATTTTACTACTAGAAATCAAGGAAATACAAATAGGGTTACAAATCTCTCAGACCAAACCCTAAAACAAAGCACTTGATCTCTCAAAGCTCTCCCACAATTGGATGCCACAAATCTCTCTTAGAGGCTGCTCAAAATCGTCCTTTTGATACCCTAACAAATCAGGTTTAGGATATATATAGCTTACAAAACAAAACGGGTCAAAAACCTGAAAGCCCAGCCCAAAACGACGTCGGTCGACCGCGCAGGTCTCGCGGGACCGCACCGGTCGACCGAATCATCAAACCCGAGAGCAGAAAATCCTACAGTCATCCTCGGTCGACCGCGCCGGTCGACCGCCACCAGCTCCGGTCGACCGCGCCGGTCGACCGCCACGCACTCTGATTCCCATCAGCTTCGGTGCACGTTTGCGGTCGACCGCGCCGGTCGACCGCCCAACTCTCTGCTGATTTTTCTAAGTTTCTGTAATATCTTCAAAATCTTGAATCCTGCTCTTGCTAGTTCTAAAGTTGTTCTGGCTACTTCAACTTCTTCTCAACGCTCTGGCTCTTTATAAGTCTTTTGTCATTATGGCACGTAGATGTGTCACGTCCTTCAAGATTGCAAGACAAGAAAAAGAGCTAAAAATAGAAAACATGGTACTGAGACAACTGTAGCTACTACCTCTGATTCATCTGCTAGTGAGCCTTCTTCTCAAAGCATTCCTACCAACCCTGCTGAATTTGAGGCTTATCTATACCAGATTCTAGGTCGCATGAGCAATTCTTCCCCATATGCTCTCTCTCTCTCTCTGTTGCTCTAGGTAGGTCTTGGTTCTTTGACTCTGCTCGTTGCAATCATATCACTTCTTTTGATTCCTTTTTCTCTCAAAGGAGTAATCTATCTTATAAACCAATTATTCACACCGCCGATGGTTCTCGCATGCATGTTAGTGCTATAGGATCTACTTCCATACCTAATTTGAGCATATCTAATACTTATAATGTGTCACATTGTACTCTTAACCTTTTATCTATTAGCAACTTTGTGAACTTGGACTTGAACTAACATTCTCTTCTCAAGGTTGTGATGTGCAGGATCCTCGGACAAGCCAACTGGTCTGTCTAAACGGTTGGAACCGTTTGGGAAAAGAGTGTTACAAACGGTTACAACCGTTTGGACAAAAAAAAGAATCGTTTGGGCTGAAGCCATTGGGAAAACTACAATGTTCTCTTCCTCGATCTGCCTAGAATTTTAACTAGTTTGGATCCAATGATGAAAATACGATTGCATAAATATCACAATAGTAACCTCATACATTACATTAATTTTCGTGAATAATCATAAAATTTAGAAAATACAAGATAATAGCAGAAAAAACTCAATTCGTTAAAACTATGCATCATATAACTTACATTCAATGTCATTAATACATGAAACTTGGGTCTATCTCCTTTGCAAGAATTAGTTAGAGTCGTATAATTCTTAAGTTCAACAGGGTACCAAAGGACTTGAGCTTTTGCACTAATTTAGTTCAGCAAAAGTCAATGACAAAGAGAAAACTTCATCGCCTGTGGTAAGAAATATGAGCATTAAAAGTGTCAATTGATTGAATATTTACAGAATGCTAGTTCCAAGTTTCATTGACCATTTCTTTCATAACTGAAACAATGTCAAGCGACTCAATCCCATGATTATCGGGAAAGAAAGGTATTAAAGGGGGCGACCTGAGGAGGAGACGATGGAGGCGCGCAGTGGAGGAGCGAGAGCCCCGGCGAACCTGAATCTACGAATTGCAAAGACCAGCAGGACGAGCAGGATGAGGATGCGGTGGAATCGATGGAGACTGTGGAGGAGGCGGCAGAGGAATCGATGGAGGTTGTAGAGGAGGCGGAGGAGGAATCAATGGAGGCGGTGGAAGAGGCGGCGGAGGAGAGAGAGCACCGGCGAAGATGAGGCGAAGGTGCGTTGGCCAGCAGCTACGGTGAAATTTTTGGGGTTATGGATTTGAGAGTGTGCGGTGAAATTTTTGGAAGGAATTTTTGGCGCTGCGGTAAAATTTTTGGGGAGAACAGATCAGAAAAATGACTTTTAAATTTTTTTTTTTAAACCTAATATGTCTCCCAAACGGTTGTAACCGTTTGGGCTAACATATTCCAAATGGTTAAAACTATTTGGGACCCGTTTGAAATTTCTAATAGTCCAAACGGTTTTAACAATTTGAGTTAAAAACCGTTTGAGTTAATTATCCCAAACGGTTTAAACCGTTTGGGCTAGTTCGACTTGTCCAAACGGTTGTAATAACCGTTTGGGCTGTGCTATTTTGTACTAGTCGAAGGCCATAAAGTATGTCGCTTGTTTGAGCTTACATCACCGCATGTTCCATCTCAAGTATTAGTCTTTACTCATTCTTCAGTATCTTCTCTTCACTTGTGGCATTCTTGCTTATGTCATCATTCTACTTCTCGTATGAAAACTTTAGTTTTTCGTGGCCTTTTAGGCAATATCAAATAAGAGTCTTTTAATTGTATTTCTTTTGGAAAATAACTTGCTTTACCCTTTAATAATAGTGAATGTGCTTCTATTGCTCCATTTGACTTAATTCATCTAATGTGTGGGGGCAATACTCCTTACTCTACAACCAGTGGTTTTCGCTATTATGTTATTTTTTTTACGATCTCTCTCGATATAGCTGGATTTGTCTTATGGAACATCGATCTGAATTCCTTAATATTTATATGGAATTTAACAAATGATTAAAACATAATTTTTCAAAAACATTAAGTATTTTTAATCTGATAATGTCCTTAAATATACTGAGAGATCTTTTTTACAATTCCTAAAAACCAATGGAATTATTTTTTAACGATCTTGTCCTGGTACCTCTCAACACAACGATCTTGAAGCCGCTCAAATGATAGATGAAGAACAAATCTCCGATTATTATTCACGATTACTTCTAATTGTGAATAAAATAAGGTGAAATGGAGAGAAGATGGAGGACATCCGAGTGACGGAGAAGTTTCTCCGATCCCTTACATCAAAATTCGAGCACGTGGTGGCGGCAATTGAGGAGTCAAAGAATTTGGAGGAGATATCAATAGAGGAGCTCTTGGGATCTCTCCAAGTTCAAGAACAACGAATGCAAAAGAAGGCTAGTTCCATAGTTTTGGAGCAAGTACTAGAGTCAACATTGACTCTAAGTAATCAAGGCTCACAAGGTAGAGGTCGTTGTCGTGGTCGTGGTAGAGGCAGGGGACGTGGTCCCCAACAGCAAACCACTCAAAATCAAGTGGAGACCCAAAGCTTTAGAGGACGAGGACGAAGCAATCGTGGAAGATCCACACCTGGGCGTGGAAGCAACAAGAATGTTCAGTGTTATAACTGTCACAAGTTTGGGCACTATGCTTCAAATTGTTGGCACAAAACTGAAGACAAAACCAATCTTGTCGAAGCAACAAATGATGTGGGTAACAACTCTACGCTTTTTCTTGCTAATGATGATTCAAGTGTTGAGAATGATGCTTGGTACCTTGACTCGGGTGCTAGAAACCACATGTGCGGGAAGAAAGAACTTTTCATGGAATTCACAGAAGGAGTTTATGGAAGTGTGAGCCTCAGAGATTCTTCAAAACTCCCGGTTGAAGGCAAAGGGAAGATTAAAATCTACCAAAAGGATGGTAAGGCCGAGTATATTTCCGATGTTTACTATATTCCTAACATGAAAAGTAATATTCTTAGCATCGGTCAATTACTCGGAAAGGGAAAGTATATATGGAGAACAACCACCTTTGGTTGAAAAATACAAATGGAGGCCTCATAGCTTGTGTTAAGATGACAAGGAACCACATGTTTCCCTTTGAAAAATACAAATGGAGGCCTCATAGCTTGTGTTAAGATGACAAGGAACCACATGTTTCCCTTGCATCTAAACACGAAAGTCGACAAGTGTTTTCAAGGACTCATGGAGAATGAGTCATGGGGGTGGCATCTTCGCTTTGGCCATCTAAACTTCAACGGTTTGAAGTTACTGTCTACAGCTGGCATAGTACGAGGTCTACCAACAATTGATCCACCGAATCATATTTGTGAAGGTTGTGTAATTTGTAAGCAACCACGACTTCCTTTTCCCAGTGGAAAATCATGGAGAGCAAAGGCACCATTGCAACTTGTTCACACCAACATCTGTGGACCGATCGATCCCGTCTCTTTGGGAGGTAATAAATATTTTATAACCTTTATTGATGACTTCAGTAGAAAGTTGTCGGTGTACACTCTTAAAGAAAAATTTGCTGCATTTACTACATTCAAGCATTTTAAAGTTTTACTTGAAGCAGAGAGCGGCCACAAGCTAAAAATTCTTCAATCTGACCGAGATGGTGAGTACACCTCAAATCTATTTCAAGAATATTGTAGGGAGAAAGGTATAAGGAGACAGTTTACTACTATCTACATACCACAACAAAATGGCATTACAGAAAGAAAGAACCAGACCATCCTTGACATGACAAGAACCATGCTCAAAGAAAAGGGATTGCCAAAGCAGTTCTGGACAGAAGCCGTGGCGTGCTCAGCTTATTTGCTCAACCGATGCCCCACAAAGATAGTGAATAACAAGACACCTCAAGAGGCATGGAGCGGTTACACGCCTAGTGTGGCACACCTACGGATTTTTGGTTGTGTTGCATATGCTCAAGTACCTAAAGTCAAAAGGAAGAAGCTTGACAATCGCGGTGAAAAATGTATTTTCATCGGATATAGCAAGGAGTCGAAGGCATACAAGCTCTACAATCCACTAACCAAGAAACTAGTTGTTAGTAGAGACGTTGTCTTTAATGAAGAAGAAGCATGGAACTAGAGCAATGAAGATCAACCCGTGGTGAATGAACCTGATGAGTCTCTACATGAGGAACCATCACTAGCTACACCACCATCTCTTCCACACTCTACACCTTCTCCTGCAAGAGGTTCTCCATCTTTTGGGGAAGGTAGTAGCAGCGGATCTACCGTGCAACGAGGTCCCATCAAAATGAGAAGCCTCAAGGAGATCTATGAGCAGATAGAAGAAGATGAAGAGTCAAATCTCTTCTGCTTATATGTTGATCATGAACCTCTCACCTTTCAAGAAGCCGTAAAAGAAGATTGTTGGCAAACAACAATGGAGGAGGAGATCCACGCCATCCAAAAGAATGATACTTAGAAGTTGACAACTCTTCCATAAAATCACAAGGCAATATGGATCAAGTGGGTGTATAAGATCAAGCGCACAACAAATGGTGAAGTTGATCGGTACAAGGAGAGACTTGTAGAGAAAGGTTATAAACAAAAGTACAGTATCGACTATGAAGAAGTCTTTGCTCCGGTTGCTCGACTGGATATGGTGAGACTATTAATTTCACTTGCAGCTCATCACAGGTGGAATATATATCATTTGGATATCAAGTCAGCATTCCTCAATGGCATTCTTGAGGAAGAGGTGTACGTGCAACAACCAGAAGGCTTTCTTATGAAAGGGCAAGAAAACAAAGTGTACCATTTGAAGAAAGCCTTGTATGGCTTAAAGCAGGCACCACGGGAGTGGAACGCCCGAATTGATGGCTATCTTCATCAAAACGGCTTCATTAAATGTCCCTATGAACACGCCATCTACATGAAGAGGAACCATAAAGGCGAATTTCTATTGATTTCTCTTTATGTTGATGATTTATTGTACACAGGAAGCAATACCGAGATGCTTGCCGAATTCAAGGCGGCAATGTTCAATGAATTTGAGATGACGGACAATGGATTGATGTCCTATTTTCTTAGCATTGAAGTGAAGCAGCAACAAGAGGTGATTTTTATATCCCAGAAGAAATACATGAAGGATATCTTAGAGAAGTTCAAGATTAATGAATGCAACCCTGTGAACACCCCAGTAGCCATCGGAATGAAGCTATCAAGAGAAGGAGACGAACGTTTCGTGGATTCAACTCTTTTCAAAAGTTTAGTTGGTAGCATGAGATACTTGAAGATCACAAGGCCCGATATTACTTATGGAGTCGGACTTGTGAGTCGTTATATGGAGACATCGAGTGAGTCTCACTAGTTAGCTACGAAGAGGATACTAACGTATATCAAAGGCACACTCAACCTGGGTCTCTTCTATGCATATGATGGAAATGCACAACTAGTTGTTTACTTAGATAGTGACTGAGGAGGTGATCAAGATGAGAGGAAAAGCACCACAGGCTATGTCTTCTATCTTTGGTCAACTGCATTTTCATGGACCTCAAAGAAGCAAGGAGTTGTAGCTTTATCTTCGTGTGAAGCAAAGTATGTGGCGGCTGCATCTACAGTATGTGAAGTAATTTGGTTGCGAAACATATTAAAGGAGTTAGATCATCTACAAGAAGACTCGACCATAATTTTTGTGGACAACAAATCAGTCATCCAGCTTGCAAAGAACCTAGTACATCATCGGAGGAGCAAACACATAGATACACGGTTTCATTTTCTCAGAGACCATGTAAAGCAGAAAACCATTGAACTGAAGCATTGTCACACCACTAAACAAGTAGCAGACATATTCACTAAGCCATTATCAGGTGAAACTTTTATGTGGCTAAGAGACATGCTTGGTATAAAGACATTTTGATTTGAAGGGGCATGTTGGAATATCAAATTAAAATGTTAGAATAAATGAGGTTAATATAAAGACATTTTGATTTGAAGGGGCATGTTGGAATATCAAATTAAAATGTTAGAATAAATGAGGTTAATAGCATGAGTTTTAGAAGTGCAAGGGTCAATTAAAATGTTAGAATAAATGAGGTTAATAGCATGAGTTTTAGAAGTGCAAGGGTCATAAGTTTAGAACGGGAAGAGACATAGGTTATGCAAGAATAAGAGTAACTTACTCATTTATGATATTTATCTTTATGGCATTAAAATAGGAGTTTAATTTGTGACTATTGGCCGTATACCTAGACGTTTTTATTTTGAAGCCTATATAAAGGGCTATTGTAATCCTTGTTTGATATGAAGAAAGAAAACTGAAGAAATATAAGTGAGTTCTTTGTCTTCATTTGAGAGAGTTCTAAGTTCGTAAACTTAAGAGTCATCAAAGGCAATTGTCGTTATGATCCCATCTCGAAAAGACTTCGTATTTCTCGTCATGACGCCTTTTGGGAGCATAATTTTTTTCTTCTGATATTGCGTCTTTTAGTCCTAAATCCTCGAGTAATCTTAGATTTTTCACTAATGAATATATCCTTCTTTTTCCTAAAGAAGTTACTGTAGATAATCTATGTTCTCCAAGCGACTCTACTGTGACCTCTCTTCTAGATGCTGCTGCTTCCATAGATCCTTCTCCTCCACTTGAGAGCTTTCCTACTTCAAATCCTTCACCATCTGCACCTTTAGCAAGGGATCCTACAAGAATTCACCATCCTCCTATTTCTCTTAATAGTTATGATTGCTCTAAGGTTGCTTCTGCCACTTCTCTTTGTGAGCCTCCCACTTTTCGTGAGGCAAACACTAATCCTTTTTAGCACTAAGCTCTAGCCGCGAAACTCCATGTTTTCACCAACATAAGCACTTTAGATCTGGTAAATTTGCCTTCTGATAAGTGATTGGATGTAAATGGGTGTTCAAGGCTAAGACTCATTCTAATGATTTTGTCGAATGCTACCAGGCTCGTCTGATTACCAAGGGATTTACTCAGGAGTATGGACTTGACTATGAGGGCACTTTCTTCGCTCCAGTTGCACGCATCACATCTATCCCCTCTCTCTAGGCTATTGCTGTTGTTCGCAAGTGATCATATTATAGATGGAGATCTAGATGAGGAAGTTTACATGCAGCCTCCACCTAGATATGAGTGTCCACCAAATAAAGTGTGTCGATTGCGAAAAGCCATATATAGCTTAAAACAAGCACCTCGAGCTTAGTCATCTAAATTTAGTTCTACTATTGTTCAATTTGGATTTGCTTCTAGTCCCTATGATTCAACACTCTTCATTAAACTAACTCAGCAATGTGTTATCCTTCTACTTCTCTATGTTGATGATATAATAATTATGGGAGATGATCATTCAGGCATCAATGATCTTCAAAGTTTTCTTAGTCAACAACTTGAGACGAAGGATTTGGGCAATCTTAGTTATTTTTCTAGTCTTCAAGTGTAGAAAAATTCATATGAATACTTATTATCTTAGTCTAAATCTGCTATCGAACTTCTATCTCGCACCATAGTGTCTGGTGATGTTGCCTCTTCTCCCATTGGTCCTAGTATCAAACTTTGCAGTACTGATGGAGAGCCTTTTGATGATGCAACATTGTATCATCAGCTAATAGGTTGTCTTGTGTACTTAACTGCTACTTGACCATATATATTATTTGTAGTTCATAAGTTAGTTTATGTTAGCGCATCACGTCACCCACTTCTCAGCTATCATTCAGATTCTCCAGTATGTTGGAGGTACTCTCTCTCTTGGCCTTCTGTTTTCTTCTGCTTCTACTCTCGAGTTGCATGCTTACTCTAATGCATACTATGTTGGAGATTGTGATGATAGGAATGTTGAAATTCAGCAGCTTCACCTACCCCTACCTACCTAGCTACATTTACCACCTAACCTTAATAGTGTATACGTACCCTATAAGAAAGCTTATATATACCCCCTAAGTTTGATTTGTAAGGCATCCCTGTAGCATAGAGAGAAAGAGAGAGAGAGAGAGAGAGAGAGAGAGAGAGAGAATTTGTATTTGAGAGTATAGTGTGTTTGTACCACTAAAGAAATAATAATAGTATATTTTTTA